TAGTAAAGTGGTTTAGCCGGTCAACTAGCATCGGAAAAGCTTCCCCTTTTTATTTTGATCCTTGCGAACCTTGCTTGGTGGCTTTTGAATTTTGAAGCTTTGGTTCATTATCGATAAGGCAAGATTCTTGTCATGGATTTCAAGGTTCTTAGGATCAGTTTCTACCGCTTGCAAAGTTTGCCTACAACAATAGCTACTAATTAAGTATTCAGATGGCTCCTTATGAGGCCTTATATGGGAGGCGGTGTCGGTCTCCGATTGGCTGGTTTGAGCAGGGTGAGGCTAGGCTACTAGGTACTGACTTGGTTCAAGATGCCTTGGAAAATGTCAAGTTGATTGAGGATTGGTTTCGCAGGGTACAGTCGAGATGTTGCTTATATAGTGGGAGAGAAGGTATTACTCAGAGTTTCACCCATGAAGGGTGTTATGAGGTTCGGGAAGAAGGGCAAGTTGAGCCCTCGGTATATTGACCCTTTTGAGGTGTTTGAGAGGATTGGAGGGGTGGCCTACAAGCTTGCATTGCCACCTAGTTTATCGAGTGTTCACCTAGTGTTTCATATTTCCATGCTTCGGAAGTACTACGGTGATCCGTCTCATGTTTTAGACTTCAGCACGGTTCAGTTAGATTGAGATTTGGCTTATGATGTGGAGCCGGTGGCCATTTTGGATCAGCAGGTTCGAAAATTGAGCTCAAAGAATATATCTTCAGTGAAAGTTCAGTGGAGAGGTCAGGCGGTCAAGGAGGCTAATTAGGAGACTGAGCGGGAGATGCGGAGCAGCTATCCACACCTATTTGAGACTCCAGGTATGATTCTAGATCCGTTTGAGGACGAACGTTTGTTTAAGAGGGGGAGGGGGATGTAATAACCCACAATTATTTTGAATATTGTAGCCCCTTTTCCCCATTTATTGTTTATTCTATATTCGTTTGTTATTATGTGACTTGCTGGCGGTGGTTAGTTCGGTCCTGAGGATATTTTCGAATGAATTGGGACACTTAGTCCCGAGGTTAGAAGCCTAAGTAGAAAGAGTTTACCAGATATTGACTTATGTGTAAACGAATCTAGAATGGAGTTTTGATAGTTCTGTAGCTTCGTATGGCAATTTCGAAATTAGGAGTATGTCCGGATATTGATTTGGAGGTCCGCAGATCGTTTTGACTTGAATTGGCGAAAGTTAAAAAAATTAAAGGTTTGAAAAGTTGAGAAGTACTCGGATTTTGGTTCCGAAAGTTTGAGTAGGTCTGTTGTGCCATTTATGACTTGTGTGCAAAATTTAAGGTCAATCGGAGTTGATTTGATAGGTTTCAGCATCGATTGTAGAAGTTGGTAATCCATTAGTGTCAATAGTCTTGAATTGGGGTGCGATTCGTATTTTTGATATTGTTTGATGTGATTTGAGAATTCGACTACGTTCGTATGATGTTTTAGGATGGGTTGGTATGTTTGGATGGGGTCCTGGGGGCCTCGGGTGTAGTCGGGTTGATTTCGGATTGAGTTGTGGACTTATGCAAAATTTGCTGGTTCAGTTGGTGCGTTCGCACTTGCGGTGGGAGTGGTCGTAGATGCGGTACCGTAGGTGCGGTGCTTTGGTCCCGCTTAAGCGAAAGCGCTTCTGCGATGAGGAGTCCGCAGGTGCAGATCTTGGCAACTTGGCTATGATTGCAGATGCGCGAGGTGGCCGTGGGTGCGGATGCACAAATGTAGGTGATAGGCCGCAGAAGCGGTCTCGCAGGTGCGTGATTGTGACCGCAGATGCGGCTGGTCGGGAGTTTAGTGCTTTCGCTAGATGCGGACGTGGGATAGCAGAAGCGGAGATCATGACTGCATGTGCGGTTTCGCTCGGCAGAATAGATATAAATGAGGGTTTGAGTCTTTTCTTCATTTTTGGACTTTGTAAGCTTGGTTTGTGGCGATTTTGTAGAGGGGTTTCACTCTAAATCAAGAGGTATGATACTTTTGATCACTTTTGTCCATTAATATTGAATACTCATTAATTTTTCCACCTAGATTATGTATTTTTAAGGTGAATTTGGGGGATTTTTGACTAGTAATTGGAGAGTAAAATTTGGGGATTTGAGTGTCGATTTGTGGTCCGAATTGGATAATTTTGGTATAGTTAGACTCGTTATTAAATGGATGTTCAGATTTTGTAAATTTTGTCGGGTTACGAGGCGTGGGTCTGGGGTTGACTTTTGGATTGACTTTTTGAATTTGGTTAAAGAACTTAGCTTTATTGTATGGGATTGATTCCTATAGCTTGTATTGATTATATTAAGTTGTTTGTGACTAGATTCGCGTCGTCGGAGGCCGATTCGCAAGGCAAGGGTTTGTTGGAGTATTGAGTTGCGTACTTTGAGATAAGTAACACTTCTAAACTTGGTATTGAGGGTATGAATCCCTGGAATACGTGTTATATGGTTGGTGTTGGGGTGATGCATATGCTAGGTGACGGGCGTGTGGGTGTGCATCGTGGTAATTATGACTCGATTGATTATGTGGTACTGTGTAGTTATCCAGTCTTGTTTCTATCCGTGTAATTCCTACGTGTCAGAGTAACTGAGCTGTAATCTATGTTAGAAAACATGTTTAGGCTATGTGCTTATTCTGTTGGGACCCACTGAGGTCATTCGTGATGTTGAGTTATTTGCTTAAGTTGAAATTATGTACTCAGTCATATTTATTCATTTGCATATCATATCTCTGTCTCTGTTACTGTTACATCATGTTATCATTGTTTGGGCTGAGTGGTATGATATTTGTGAGCCCGTGAGACTACAGAGATTGATGACTGAGCTAGGGCCCGAGAGCCGGATTGTGAGTGATATTATGGGATCGAGCTGCATGCCGCAGCATGCCTTATTTGCTTATTTATTATTATGGTATCGGCCTGCACGCCGCAGTAGGCCATATTGGCTTTATATAGTGCTTCGGTAAGATCTGCCCCTCCGGAGTCTGACATACCAGCAGTGAGCGAAGTGACCCGTATAATGCTGAGTGATTGTGTGTGATGAGTGGGAGTTTGAGACAGACAAATTTAGTACTCTGAGAGTGTGAGTACCTGGGATAATCACTGTGATGCATTACATTTGACATGTAGTCGTAAAGATGTAATATTCCTCATGCTAGCTGTACTTGGCATATTTTATTAGTGTTGAGCTTAAATTGTTGAACGCGAAAACATGCCTAAATTTATGTACTGTGTACGAGCTGAATTGGAAGTTTTCGGAGTTATTACTGTCATTATTTTGTTATATTTGTGTTTTCATGATTTTGATTTGGATTGTATCTTTCTGAGCTCGTCATTGCTTTCAGCCCAAGGTTAGTCCCGTTACTTATTGAGTACATTGGGTCGCTTGTACTCATACTACAATCTGCACTTCATTTGCAGATCCAAGTACATCTGGACGCGGTGGTTGCTAGAGTGGTGATAGTACCTGTTGGGAGATCTTGAAGTAGCTGCTATGGCACCCACAGACCTTGACTCTCCTTCCTCTCATTTTTTTCAGTATTGTTCTATTTTCTCAGACAGTTGTACTAGAGTTTTAGACTATATTGATATTAGTAGCTCATGTACCGGCGACACCTGAAATTTTGGATTTGTTGGCGTTGAGTTTTAGTTGTTCTTATCAATTATCTATGAGATTTTCTACTGTTGAACTTATTAAAAATCATGCTTTAAATTCAAATGTGTAGTTATTATGTGATTGTCGGCTTGCCTAATAATGTGATAGGCACCTTCACGACAGGTTGGAATGGGTCGTGACAATTACCTCACTGTATTTATGAATACAGTCGCGCGAATACATGGAATACAACAAAGTAGCAACGAAATTTCTAGCTACGGCCAGTAACTACGGATATTATAACTATAAAGCGTTAATAGCCGTATAACAATTGTGATTTCTGAAAATTCCTTTTAATAGTATGGTGTTTCGTAACACACATAATTATATATTTTCAAGATTAATGTAAACAAATGCACAATACTAAATCAATAAATTTGGATTGAGTGTCAACACATACATACATATATATACGTATCAGAGAAAGCTAAGTTAAAGACACTGAATCCATTCTTATCTGCTGTACATTATTATTTTGTCAAGCTCAGAAAGATTTTACATTTAAATGTTAAATATAACCCTTCGCATGCATTCTCTGAACAATGGGATTGATGCATTAGATTGTTCTAATATCATTCTGACTAAATGAGTGCAATGGACAAGGTAAAGTTTTATCTTAAATCCATCATATGATTATTGTTCTTGTTTTGACTCTGTTAATTACTGGCATCTCATCATTAATACAAAGGTTGGTGGATGCAGTCAGATGGCAATAAGATGCACCAAGATTACCAGTTCTAATTGACGGAATTTATCATAAATCATTGATTTGTACAATCTCAACAATGATTTTAAGGTTAAAGTTCTCATTTTATTATTCTTTTATTTTGAAGGGCCAAAACTGGATACATTCGACTCTACCCGTTAGTCCCCTTTCTTCCCTGTGTTTATCTGTCGTTTTTTTCTAAGTCCTCTTTCCTTTAGCATGGTCTCTGTAATATTAAATTAATTGTGATTTGTGCTCTGCCATTAGATTCGTCACCGATCTATACAATTATTGTTTTAAAAAGCAAGACCAAGAAACTTACAGTCGACTAGTATATGTTGAGTAAAATAAGAAAACTATATTCCTCTAATAATCTAATTAAATTTTGATAAAAGCTTGGGAACCTAGGTATTTAACCTGCCATTAAAGTATCTGAATATTATAACGAGAATTATTAGATTATTAGAGGAATATAGGTTGCTCAACCTGTTTAGATATTGTATTATGTTTAAAATATTTGAATAGAGTAACCGCCTAAATAAATCATCTTCAAACATAGTACACATAACTAAAGGGCATGTATAATGCTTGTGTGCTAAGTGAACACAAAATAAATCTCCCTTAATCACCACTAATTAACAATATTATGCGTGGACAATTAAGATTTGTGGGACAATTAAGATTTGTGGTTATAATTAGCTGAAAAGGACATGATAATATTAGTACAAATTAGTAGGTCAGATCAACCTTACTTTAGAGATAAAAAAAAATAGAGATTGATCTTACAAAAAGCACTAATAGCTCTAATTAAGTGGAGTTTAAAACAAGTAAGAAAAGATGCCAAAAAGCATTGATTTGATTTCCTTCCTTATAAAAATGACATCTCATTTGGCTCTGTCCTTAATCACATCGATTCCCATCTCCGTTGGATCCGTCGCTTGAACTTCATAGTGTATTCCATCTAGAACTCTTCTAATGCCATCTTTTGAAGTTGCATATAACATTGTTGCTCTTATTCTTGATTCTGCTGGAGCCCTGAATCCACCACATTACCATACAATATGTATGTTAGAAACTAAAATTATGAGTTAACTCGCTAGTGTAAAAATACATAAAATCAAGCACATACACATATATATAACGAGAATATTCATCATATTGACTAGAAAGGTTAACTCTATCTAGATATGAGTTTTCGTGATGCATAATCAATTTATGTGAATTTTGTAAGCCACAACAAGTTGTACTAAATGCTAACTGAAAGATTATATTGTGTATATAAGTCAAATATAACAAGTTGAACGCCCTTAATAAATTTTTGATTGAGATGGAGTTGAAAAATCGAGTAAAAAAGGAAAAAGTTAAAGAGTAAGAATTAGAGACCATGCAATAAAGAAGATCTTGCTTTTGTGGCACTTATCGACAGTGACAAAGTCGAAATCATAGACAGCATATCGGCAGTCGTCTTTGGGAAGAGAGGCAGCCAAATCATCATAACTTTCACCAGGTCCGCCAACTTTGTCCACAGTCACCAACTTGGACTTCTCATCAATCTTGAAAACTATGTACCTATGAACCTTCTTCCATTTCATCTCCATGAATGAATTCTTGCATTCATCAGTTACCCACATGCCCGTTGTCGCCTGTATTAATTAGTAATAACAAAAGTTAATTCAACATGTACTATTACGATGATCAACAGAATAGGAAAAACATAGAGGATTTGATTAAATACCATCTTAAAAGCCATGGCCATGGTGACTTATTGCTAGGAAAAAAGAGAAATATTTTTGATGATCGTCTTTCTCTTCCTTATTTTGGCTAATAGGTTAAAGTGATATATGAGGAAACTAGTGTTGGTATGCAATTGTGCGGGGTTGGGGTTTTAAATAGACGTGGTTATTGAAATGCCACAAAATTAGGGGTTATATTACGAGTTTGTCCATTCTAGATCTATGTAATTTGCTGCACATGTGTATGACAAATTGGCCTGGCCATTATTGGGGTGTCTGCTTTGCCTTGGAAGGTTTTTACAAGCCTCAAGTGAAGACCCCGGGGTAGTAATATGGCAATGTTCAGTGGGGTTCATGTACTGTTGCTTCGATCTAGCAGAAAATGTGACCACTTGAAATATATTTGTAGCACCTTATTTAAAATATATCAGTTTTTATAAACTATTTAGGGGTCGTTTGGTATGAGGTATAAGAAGGTATAAGGGTGGTATAAAAATTTAATACCACCTTAATACTCTGTTTGGTTAGCAAACCAGGTATAAGTTATCCCGGTGTTAAAATTAACACCGGGATAACTTATACCTTATAGAAGGTGGGGTAATTAGCACCGGTATAACTTATACCTTCTTCTTAGAAATTATGCAATTGTCATTCTTAATACAACATACCAAACAATGAATGAACAACAATCCCAGCATAACTTATCCCAATATAACTTATACCGGCATAACTTCTTCCTTCTTCTTCGGACCTTCGGGTCTGAAGTTGAGCTCTAGCAAAACCTAACTTCATACCCAAGCTTTGAAATTTGAAATGCCAAAATTCAAATTAAGACTCATGTCTAAAATTGATCATGAGACACCTAAAACCGTGTAGACTCGTACATGAATAATTGAGTACTCAAGATTTAATGTATATATTATATATATAAATCTAAGACCAAACTGTCACAGAGGTTTAAGAATTGGACAGGGTAACATATTTTCACTATCGTACATCATTAAATTATAAATCCGTAAATCGTATACCCGGAAGATATACAATGTACATAAATGTTGTTGTATAAATTTTTAACACGTGAATTTTATAAACGGATAGAAACGAGTAAATAATTACTCCGCCTGAGTAATCATGTAAAAGTCTCAAGTTTTAAAATTTAGTAATAGTAGGTTTCATGTTTAATCTTTCCTAAAAACTATTAAATATTTTAAGGTAAAATGGTACAAGGTCTTTATAAAAAAAATAAAGGAAATTGTTTAGCCATATGCGATTGGTGGTGACAATTGGCTATTTACATTCTAACATTAATATACTTTTTTTTTTCTTTTTCTCATAATAAAACTTGTACTTAGTACTTAGTTTTTTCTTCCTCCCATTAAGCTATTTATTCTCTCAAAGACCAGGGCAATATATTGAATAAATTAAATTTCACACTCTCTTTTATTATTTGTCAAGTGTTCTAAGCTTTGCAGCTAGCAGAATGAAGCACTTAAATTTTATTTTTATATCAAGTAATCATCAACTTTTAGAATCATGTCTTATTGACATAAGAAAAGAAAGAATCGAGAAAATAAATAGTCTACACAAACACTAAAATCTAAGAGTGGTGCAACAACGGGAGAAATTCAAAAATAGCCAGATTTACCACTGGTCGTTGAAAAATAGCCAAGTTTCAAAAGTCATCGAAATTTAGCCACTTTAAATCTGAGCGAAAACACTGTTCAAAATCCGGAAAAATACGCCCGCAAATTTTACGGGAGTTCAAGCATAATTATGCTGGAACTCCCGCAAATTTTACGGGAGTTCCAGCAAGTATAATTGTCCAGTATAATATACTGGAGTTTGGAGCACTAGTGCTCCAGTCTCCCGCAAATTTTACAGGAGTTAGCAAAGTATACCGGTCCAGCATAATATGCTGGAGTTCGTACACAAATGTACCAGAACTCCCGTATATTATACTGGACCGGTCCCTGTTGCAGAAAAATAGTGGCTATTTTTCATTGACTTGATAAACGCTGGCTATTTTTCATTGACCAGTGTGAAAACTGGCTATACCATGATATTTTAACCGCAACAACATTTAGATGTGGATGAGGAGACATGTTTGATGTCTTGTATCAACTTGGCTTGGCCCTACCCTCCATTTGTGAGAACTAAAAGCCTTTCAGCCCACAACCCTCCATCATGGGGCGATGTGCACAAATAGCCACTAACAGCTCATGTCTTTATTTTAAAGCCAGTGTTTTAAATGTCTTTAGTCTTTAGCCACTGGTTTAATAAATTTTAACTGCCCGGACGAAAATACCCTTCTGCTCATGTCCTTAACTTCAGGACTTCAGGACTATATGTCCTTAACTTTTGAACTTGAAACTCTAAGTTCAGGACTTCAGGACTACATGTCCTTAACTTTTGAACTTGGAACTCTAAGTTCAGGACTTCAAGACTACATGTCCTTAACTTTTGAACTTGGAACTCTAAGTTCAGGACTTCAAGACTACATGTCCTTAACTTTTGAACTTGGAACTCAAACTTCAAGACCAAGCATCCTTAACTTTTGAACTTGTAAGTCAAAGTTAAGGACCTATTGTCCTTAACTTTTGAACTTGTAACTGTAAGTTAAGTACTGCTTGTCCTTAACTTTTAAACGTGTAACTGTAAGTTAAGGACTGTCTGTCCTTAACTTTTGAACTTGTAACTGTAAGTTAAGGACTGCTTGTCCTTAACTTTTGAACGTGTAACTGTAAGTTAAGGACTGTCTGTCCTTAACTTTTGAACATGGAAATCAAAGTTAAGGACCTATTGTCCTTAACTTTTGAACTTGTAACTGTAAGTTCAGGACCAAATGTCCTTAACTTTTGAGCTTGTTAGTCTAAGTTCAGGACCTATTGTCCTTAACTTTTGGGCTGCTTAGCCTAAGTTCAGGACCTATTGTCCTTAACTTTTGATTTCCTTCTTCTTTATAATTTTTTTTATGATGCCTAACCAAAAGGCGTTTATCATATTGAACAATCTTCTCCTGTAACGAAACATTAAAATGGCTCCTCAGAAAATATGGTGCCATTACATCAAGACCATATCCCTTGGAAGCCCACAAAAAATATTCTGCTTCCAAGAACTCCAAGTTCTGTGCAAAATGCATGTTGTCTCTGTCTTCTTTGTACACTGGGATCTTATATTTAGGATACATTGATTGACAAACTGGATTGGAATGACAGACAAAAACAAGCTCACTAAAAACCATGGAAATCACAAAGGCTGAAACGAAAGCCATTCTTCGTATTTGTTGATACTCGGTCCACCCAGTCTTTCCAATCCACTGTAATTCTGTTTGGGAAGGAAAGGGTAACTCTGTCTTTTCATATTAATTTTAATAGACTAGTGGCTAGTTTTGCTCAGCATTAAAAATGATGGATAAAAAGTAAATACCACTTTAAATAGTGGCTACCCCACACAATTTTTACTCCAGGGCGATGTGCACAAATAGCCACTAACAGCTCATGTCTTTATTTTAAAGCCAGTGTTTTAAATGTCTTTAGTCTTTAGCCACTGGTTTAATAAATTTTAACTGCCCGGACGAAAATACCCTTCTGCTCATGTCCTTAACTTCAGGACTTCAGGACTATATGTCCTTAACTTTTGAACTTGAAACTCTAAGTTCAGGACTTCAGGACTACATGTCCTTAACTTTTGAACTTGGAACTCTAAGTTCAGGACTTCAAGGCTACATGTCCTTAACTTTTGAACTTGGAACTCAAACTTCAAGACCAAGCATCCTTAACTTTTGAACTTGTAAGTCAAAGTTAAGGACCTATTGTCCTTAACTTTTGAACTTGTAACTGTAAGTTAAGTACTGCTTGTCCTTAACTTTTAAACGTGTAACTGTAAGTTAAGGACTGTCTATCCTTAACTTTTGAACTTGTAACTGTAAGTTAAGGACTGCTTGTCCTTAACTTTTGAACGTGTAACTGTAAGTTAAGGACTGTCTGTCCTTAACTTTTGAACATGGAAATCAAAGTTAAGGACCTATTGTCCTTAACTTTTGAACTTGTAACTGTAAGTTCAGGACCAAATGTCCTTAACTTTTGAGCTTGTTAGTCTAAGTTCAGGACCTATTGTCCTTAACTTTTGGGCTGCTTAGCCTAAGTTCAGGACCTATTGTCCTTAACTTTTGATTTCCTTCTTCTTTATAATTTTTTTTATGATGCCTACCAAAAGGCGTTTATCATATTGAACAATCTTCTCCTGTAACGAAACATTAAAATGGCTCCTCAGAAAATATGGTGCCATTACATCAAGACCATATCCCTTGGAAGCCCACAAAAAATATTCTGCTTCCAAGAACTCCAAGTTCTGTGCAAAATGCACGTTGTCTCTGTCTTCTTTGTACACTGGGATCTTATATTTAGGATACATTGATTGACAAACTGGATTGGAATGACAGACAAAAACAAGCTCACTAAAAACCATGGAAATCACAAAGGCTGAAACGAAAGCCATTCTTCGTATTTGTTGATACTCGGTCCACCCAGTCTTTCCAATCCACTGTAATTCTGTTTGGGAAGGAAAGGGTAACTCTGTCTTTTCATATTAATTTTAATAGACTAGTGGCTAGTTTTGCTCAGCATTAAAAATGATGGATAAAAAGTAAATACCACTTTAAATAGTGGCTACCCCACACAATTTTTACTCCATCATGTGCTTTGACTATATTTTCTTTTTAAAATTGTGATTTTCTGATCATGTTTTAGGAAGAATTATTATACATAAAATACTACTCGTGACTTAATTGTAATTAAGGAGAACTTTCAGTTTGTATTCATACCTATTTTCATTTTGGAATTTTTACATTCCTATACCACATAGGAAATCTTTTTACCCTACATGTTTAAGGTTTGAGTAAATTACACTTAGTATACCAAATTACCAATCCTATACCATGCTTAATTAAGGGTCTAATTAATGGGCTGTTTTTACTCCTTAATTAAAGGTATCCATATCTAATTAATGGGCAGTTTTTACTCCTTAATTAAAGGTATCCATATATCTCACGTTTCTCTCTCCTTACCCCTCACCCACGTTTTTACCCATACCCCACATTCTTTCTTGTTCTTCATCCACGATTGCAAGATCAATCAACGAAAGATGTCCTTGAGATGCATTAGCCAAGCGAAATCTCATTATATTTGAATGTCGTGCCAATTTCCTCTGCAACAATTGTTTTTGGGTACCAAACAAAATTTCCTCTTCTGAAAAAGTCAAAAATGAGAAATTTATTGGTAAAGAGACTAATATGAAAAGCTGCCGACAACTTCTCCAAACGACTTAGAAATACTGACTGTTGAAGCCTCACCTAGATTTACTGTTTGTCGTGTATTTTGTAGTGTAATTGCAGTGTAATTGTAGTGTAATTGTAGTGTAATTGTAGATTTATTATAATGGATATGATCTGTTGAAGCCCTCACCTAGATTTACTGTTTGTAGTGTAATTGTAGTTAGTTTGTAGTTTATGTAGAACATTCCACGATTAATTGTAGTCTAAAATGTAGATATAATGTAGACATGATTGTGGATGATGTGTTTCCTGTTTCCCCTGTAACTGTAGGTAAATTATAGTTATTCTTATATTAGGTACTTAAACTGTAGGTAATTTGTACATTCACTGTAGTTATTCTTATATTAGGTACTTAAACTGTAGGTAATTTTTAGATGTTTACCTCCAAGTTCTATGTAATATTTTTATATAACTGTCAGTTGAATATAAATTACACAACAAAAAATAAGAAATAAATACTCCAATCGTAGAAATGTGTTATCCACAATTAATCTGCAAATTGTCTACAAAATTTTACAAAAACTACAAATTAACTACATTTAACCTACATTATAACTACAATCTGGAAACAATTTACACATGGAAGTTCTTCAAGTTGGAATTGGCCACAACTACATTTCTTGTTTTCTAGACACACAATGTACCGCTTCACACCATCCAACACAGTATGTATATGATCTGTTGAAGCCCTCACCTACATTTTCAGAACAAACACAAAGAAAAAAAATTTACAATATTAAAAATATAGTATCTACAATATATCTACATTTTATCTACAATTTATCTACAAATTAACTACAAACTACAAGTAAACTACAATTTGCCTACAATTTATCTACAATCTGGAGACATAATATATTAAAATATTTTTTTCCTGCACCAAATAAAGAACTTGTAGTCAAATTGTAGATATATGTAGTAAATTTGTAGATAATATCATAAAACTAAAATTCTAAGCATTTTCGAACTACACAAACCAGCATTCTCATCTACCACAATGGCATCAACTTCAAAATCTCTAAATCTGCCATAGTTATCCCAATTCCCATTCAATTTTAGCATTATTGGGATTTTTGACATGATTTCGTGTAGTTGAGAGAAAAAAGATGAAGAACAGATATAGGTTCGACAATTTGAGTACTGAGGACGATGAAGAATAATTTTGAATTCTACAATTTGTATTGCGTTGTTGAAGCTTCTGAAGCTCTGCGTTGTTTTTGAATTGTAGTGAAAGAGAGAATTACGCAGCAATCAGATCTCTTTCCGTTTCAAATTTCGAATTTAATGTGGAAAGAATCAAACGCAGATTTTGTGCTTTTTTTTTTTCGCGCGTTTTAAATGGCAGAATCTGCCTAAGTATGGATTGGTATATAAATTGTAGTTGAAGTATGGACTGGGCGGGTAATTAACAAATTATGCACATTTTTGATAATTAAGTTTCATATATGGTATAGGAAGGAAAAAATCCCTTTAATTTGTGGTTTCAAATATTATGTAAGCCTTATGAAATTTTCACCGGTTAGTCACTTTTTATAGCAGATCTTTAGTTAATGACACTCTTTTTACTTCTCTTGCAACTAATGAACCTTTTAAACAAGATCTAAAGATCTTTTTGAGCAAACTGAAAATCTTATGAGAAAACGTTAGACCACGATTAAAAAGTTTATAAGTTTTTGCAAAATTTTAACCCACAGTCTAATAATTTGTGGGCAAACTGAAAATTGTATCAGCAAAATTAAACCCGAATCTAACATTGTCCGGGAGGGGTAATTTCTCACAATCTGAAAAATAGCCGAAAATGGGATATCTGCTTAAATCAGCCATAAACCTTCCATCTTTCAAGTGTAATCATTGTGGTATTTAACTGCTTTATGACATAATACATGATGATTTAGCTAAGATTTTATTAATTTTAGTACATATGACAGGAGAAGAGCTGCTCTTGCATGAAGAAACATAAAACAGTAAGCATTAACACCTGCTATTTTTGGTGAAAAGGGTAATAAAATGTGGCAACACCTGCTATTAATTACATAATACATGATAATTTAGCTAAGATTTTATAAATTTTACTACATATGACAGGAGAAGAGTTGCTCTTGCATGAAGAAACGTAAAACAATAGGATTAACACATGCTTTTCGTCTTCTTGAGCCGAGGGTCTTATCGGAAACAACCTCTCTATCACCTCGGGGTAGAGGTAAGGTCTGTGTACACACTACCCTCCCCAGACCCCACTCGTGGGATTTCACTGGGTCGTTGTTGTTGTAGTAGTTGCAGATAACTAATGTACTATAAGGGCTTAGCTTCTTCCTGCTGGAAGTATGCAACTTATTGGCACATCATATTTCTTCTAATTGTAGATAGGGACCAGTCTATGCTTGGTAGCTGGATCTGAACACGAATTTGACACCACAAATATGACATATGCTCTAGAATTGGTTACACTTCTAGCTTCTTCTACTTTGTAATTTGCTCTTTGAGACCTACCAAGGGGACTGACAAAATGCTATTTGCTAGCCCAAAGATTTTCCAACACAGAATGCTAAACCAAAATCCACGACCAATCCTTACTCACATATCATAAAGAGCACCTCCAAATGTGCAAGCACAATGTTAACCAATGAACCAAAGCTGAAGATGCAATAGTTCACTAGAAGTTGTAATTGTTGCTAGCTGATGAAATGCAGAAGCAGAAACAAGCTTCCCTTCACACCTCAATGTCTCTCGAAGGGTAAATCACTCTGATCAGCAATTTGAGCAAACTATAGAGGAAAACAGAGGAGAGTGCACCTGAACAAATTATATTCTTGGAATGTTGTAAAACTCAAGTTAATTAGCCTGATACGAAGAGACTGCAGTCACATCCATTGCTCTTGACTTGAACCTATTTATGTCGAACAATTTTTTAAACATTTATATTTATAATAACTTCATAGTGATTGCAATCTGCCACACAGTGGTAGCTGGTCCTGCGTTACAACCACAAATGGCAAATTTGCATTCACTTCAATCTCTCTATAACATTTTGGGAGTACCAAGTATTCCAATCAGTTATTGTGAATGAAAACAATAACTTATGTAAGAGAAGGTTAAAGAGATCAATCTGGAAAGATAATTAGCATCATAGAAACAAGTTTCTTGATAAAAAACAAAATAACATATGTCAAAATATACAGGGTAGGTTAGTGAGTTCAAACTTCGCTCTATCCTTTAAGATGTTGCACTCTGGTTCTCTGCATCCCACTCGCTCTTTGGTATTTCCCCAGAGTCTGCAATGATCACCTTTTTCCTAGGTTTCCCACTGTAGGTTCCTGCTCCGCCCTCTATTGCATATACCGTGTCCATACCTTCAATAACTTTGCCAAATACAACATGCTCCCCATCCAACCTGCTCACGGTTTGGGTGTAAGTATGAGGTATATCTGGACAACCAAGATTAAAATGGTGCTAGATGCATAAACTAGCAATATCATATTTTCTCCAATGTTTCAACAATATTTATGCTATATGAGATGACTTGTCTAGATAGTAATGATAATTATTTAGTCATACAATAATATAGATGGTTTTCCTGCATGCCTGAACACAACAAAACTCCTATAGCATTGGTAAAAATGCTATCTTTACGAAAGCAAAGATGAAAAAAATAGAACAAAGCAGGCCACTCATCTTTGCTAAATCAGATGAATTTGGATAAGCACTCTTAAGCTAGGAGGTATAAGTCAATTAAAAAGCACTGAAACAGAAATCTACTAGGCTACTGTTTAGACATGTACGAAGGGGGTATAAAAGCAGTATAGATTTAAAAAATACAAGTTAGTCTTTAATATGCTGCTACTACATTATAGAACCTTACCAGCTTGTCTTTATTGTGGGTATAAAGAACTGACAGCCATTGGAGTTGGGTCCTGAGTTCGCCATGGAAACAACACCTGCAAAAGTGAAAATTTTGAAGCTTATGATTGTATAAATATGTATGTACCTTATAAATATATGCACAAGTAAATTCTCATTATCTTTTCCTAAGGAGAGAGCACAAGAAAGCAATTATTCAAGACCTGCATGGGCATGCTTTATCGTGAAACTCTCATCAGGAAAGGGACCACCGTATATGGAAGCATTTCCCCTTCCATCGCCATACACAACATCACCTCCTTGAATCATGAACCCAGGTATTACACGATGAAATAGTTTTCCCTTGTAGTGAAGAGCTATTCCATCAGCAGTTCTGCCCATTTCTCCTGAATTAAATATGCACTCCCTCTTTTATTCTCCCAAAAGAAAAAGAAAAAGGAGAGAAATTGCTAAGAAGTTACCAAAACCATGCCATGCAAGTTATAAGCATTAAGTACCTGTGCACAAAACCCTGAAATTATCTGCACATGAGCAAAGACACAAACATTATGCTACAAGGATAAAAGTGAAAATTAACTGAAAAAGAAATCCATGATGGTAATAGAGAAGAACAAAGACATACCAACAGTTTTTGGTACAACAAGTCCATATAATCCAATCACAATTCTTCCTGCAGACATGAAGTTTGGGACCATCAATTGATGGACCGTGTATAGGTAAAAAGTTACTCCCCGACCTTCTAGGGCCCCATATGAATCCTTAGGATAGTCTACAGATCATCAGCCTTGAGAGATTTTTCTTTAGCATATGATGCTCTTTAGCTACTACTATTTTGCTAAGATACTTAATACAACAAAAGATCACAGGTATCATGGGCGAAGCCACCTTTAGCAAAGGGCTTCGCCGAAAAATTACGAAAAATTACATTATGTATATAAGTAAAATATTGATTTTAGACATATAAAACCTATATTGAACACCTTTTGTCGGAATTTTTTTTCTACTTCTTTCAAGTTTGAACACCCTTGAAAACATTTCTAGCTTCGCCACTGACAGGTATAATTATCCCTTAAAGGAAGTATATGATAGGTTTCTTTATCATCGATAGGTCAAATCAAACAAAGACATTAGAAGACATCTAACAAGTCGTTCTCCCCAAGGAGAAATGTCGATAACCATTGCAATCCCTAACTTCCTCAGCCTACTAACTACAGGAGCGACCAGCGAGGAGTGGGCTTCAGTACATATGAAAATTTGAGGCAGTAAAACAAAAACCACAACGAACTCTTGTCAGCACTTTTAAAGGTGGCGGCCTTTTTTTCAATTGAGATAGGGAACTCGTCCAAGCATATTTACAAGAAGATAGAACCCAGTTATGTTCACCTAAGGTTACAGTGCACCTAGCATAACTACTAAAGATCATGCATCCTCACAAAGCTTTCTTTGCACCAAAAATGAAACATCAAAATGCACTCCATCTTGATATTCTGGAAATGGTTGCTTCTATCATCAAAAGCTCTTGAGTTTATTTCCTTCCAGACTGTCCACCAGATGCAGGCAGGAACCAGTCGCCACCATTTCTTCTGTCTCACCGAACCCCCAGTATAATTCCAGCACTTTAGCTGATCACAAGTGTTTGCTGGCATACTTCATTTAAGCCCCACAATATTAAGGAAAAGCTTCCAGAGCTGTGCACCCCCGGGATTAGTCGGGGCTCTAAGAGACTCGGACACCCGGTGCAAATCAAAAAAAAAAAAAAAGAAGAAACAAATGGCTATTACTTTCTACAGCTGCACCACACAGTGAACACCTAGAGCAAAGTTGAAAACCCTTTCTTCTCAAATTCTCCTGGGTTAGAGAGAAGCCTCTCTTGCCACTAACCGTGAAAAGCAAACTATCTTGAAAGGTGCCTTAACTTTCCAAATATACCGCCAAGGCCAATGTTCTATCTGTTGATTTGAGATAACGGTTAAAAGGTATGCAGATTTGACAGTAAAAGCTCCATCCCTGCTTGGGCTCCGTATGGTCTGTCTTCAGATTCCCTAAGACCTTGGAACTTTTCCAAGGTTTTAAATAGTGTGGCCCTATGTTACATTGACACAGGTTCAAGTTTCTGGAGCTTAGACTTGCAGTGGCCTAAACCTTGATATTCAGAGATATGGATAGGTCTAAAGTTACAAGTGTACAGAGATCTGGCTAATAAATGTATACTCAATAACATATATATAGACATATCCATGCGGGTGCGGTTGCTCACCCATACATCAGTAATCAAATTGAAAAGTCATTGAAAGAAGCAAATAGAAGTAAATTCTTTTCAACAGCGTAATATTTTTAAAAAGAATCTTTTAAACTATCTGATACTTTAGTCCATTAGTATATCTCATCCAATAGGTAAACTTTCTAATACTTTATGCATATGTGCATATAAATGTATGTGTACACACACACGCATATATACACAGATGCGCGAGCATACACACACGCACATACATACTATATAAACCTGTTAATCGGAACCGAAAGCTCAGTCAATCTATGCTTCTGTATTATAGTTGGAGCCAACATTACCAATGCAAATTCACTAAAGTGTATGCCACAACTACACCTAAGTTAGGCCAGTTAGATACAAGTGCGGTGGGCGATTCTGAATGATCCAAATAAAATAGGTGTTGACCAAAAATTTTAGCATGAGAATGGTTTAGTGAGAGAAATTTTTACTTTATTGTTGCTGTGGTTACCGTAAAGGGAAGTGTTGCCACATAATCCCTCCCTAACCTACTCGTGCTTATTATGGTAGGGTTCAGAACTCAAATCTCCTCCCCTAAAAAAAAAAGAGAAAAAAAACAAGCCAAAGCCCAGCTCTTTTTTGCAGTATTAAATTCAATCCAAAATGAAACAGATGCAAAAGGGATTGGGGTGTAATCAATTGATAGATATACATCATCTCAACACTTCTATAGCTCCAGCCAGAAGGACTCTTCACACCATCAGAAGGATCTCCAACACCATCCAGGTCAGCACTTTCAAGTTCCTCCTGTAACAAAATCACACTATCTCATGGATCAGAAACTCATCAGTTTTTATCAACCAACCAGCATTAAGAAAGATTTATAGCTCCTCTTTCTTAATTCTTATAGTGGGGACGTGAGTAATATGTGGACCTTGACAACGAATTGCTTTCGGGAAGCTACTAGAGGGGTGTTAGGGGCCTCGAAGGGTTACCCTAATGAACAAAAACGGGACTGGTGGTATAATGGACAAGTCCAGGGAAAAGTGGAAGCCAAGAAAACAGCATATTTGAAGCTTGAAGCTAGTGGAGAGCAGAGACGAGTAGGAGAGGAGTATGAATAGGGAATGGTATAAGAAAGCTAAGAAGGAGGCGAAATTAGCCGTTACGGAGGTTAAGAATGCAGCGTTTGGACGGTTGTATGAAGAACTAGGGGCCAAAGGTGGGGACAAAAAGCTATACAGGCTAGTCAAGATGAGGGAGAGGAAGGCTCGTGAGCAGACCAAGTGAAGTGCATCAAAGACAAGGATGGCAATGTATTAGTGGATGACGCACTTATTAGACGTAGATGGCACACGTACTTTCATGAACTCTTGAACGACGAGGGGAATAAGGACATCGTGCTAGGGGACATGGAGTTCTCCGAGAGTCACCGTGACTTTGGGTATTACGGGCGTATCAAGGTTGAAGAGGTTATAGGGGCTATGCGCAAGATAAGCAGAGGTAGAGCGACGATGAAATCCCTATTGAATTTTGGAAGACCGCAGAGTGGCTTACTAGGTTATTCAATGTCATTTTTAAGACGACGAAGATGTCAAGAACAAAGAAAGCATGAGAGAAATTGAAGAATGACTATCTCCATTACTTGATTCAAATACATCATATATATTGGTATTTATACACAAGAGAAAATATCCTACACTAAATGTAAATCCTACAAAATATTCTTCATATATTCTACAACTAATGCTACACAATATTCTACATTAAATGTAGAATATCCCTAATAATATCCCATATATTCACCATATCGAGAATGTATTAATGTAGATATTCTACAATCTGTCCATTATGCTAACATCCCCCCTCAAATAGATGCTGGTGGATCGAAAAGCATCAATTTGCCTACTAGAAACTGATGACGCTGTCGTGCCATTGATTTTGTAAACACATCAGCTATTTGAAGATCACTGTATACATGTGGAAGAGTAATAACTCTTCTATCTACAGCTTCTCTTATAGAATGACAATCCACTTCAATATGCTTGGTTCTTTCGTGATAAACTGGATTGGTTGCAATCTGAATGGCACTTGTGTTATCAGCATGGAGAGGAGTAGGATTAGATTGAGGAAATCCAATTTCTTCAAGTAAACCACGAAGCCAAATAATTTCGGAGCAAGCAGTCGACATTGCTCGATATTCAGACTCCGTTGAAGATTTTGAAACACGATCTTGCTTTTTGCTCTTCCAAGATATCAAAGAATCTCCGAGAAACATGCACCATCCCGTGACGGAGCGGCGAGTATCAAGACATCCAGCCCAATCGGAATCACTAAATGCATTAAGTTGAATAGGAGAACCACTAGGAAAGAATAATCCACGAGTTGATGTTCCTGAGAGATATCGAATGATGCGACGAACTTGCGACGAACTGCCACCAAATGTAGGTGACGGGGAGTCTGCATAAATTGACTGACTTGTTGAACTGCAAAAGAGATATCAGGCCGAGTAATAGTAAGATAATTCAGGCTCCCAACTAATTGTCGAAACAAAGTTGGATCAGGAAGAAGATCCCCTTCATCGCGACGATACTTTACATTCAATTCCAATGGAGTATCAACAGAGGAAGATTCTTGAAGACCAGCCAAAGCAATCAAATCCTGAGTATATTTGGTGCTGGTTTAAGAACACACCTAAAGAATTATAATGAACTTCCAACCCCAAGAAATATGTTAGAGTACCAAGATCTTTCATGTGAAAAGAATCCTTAAGCTGTTGTTGGAGGCTAGTGATTAATAAAGAATCAGTTCCTGTTATAATGATGTCATCCACATATACCAGAAGAAGAACACAACCTGTAGATGTTTTTCGAAGAAACAAAGATGAGTCATATTTACTTTGTTCAAAAGAGAAGTGAAGCAAAGTAGATCGAAACTTGTCAAACCAAGCTCTGGGAGCTTGTTTTAATCCATACAAAGACCGCTTCAACTTGCAAACATCTGATGTAGGTGATGAAAACAAACCAGGTGGGGGTTTCATATAAATATCTTCTTTCAGATCACCATGGAGAAAAGCATTTTTTACATCCATTTGATGAAGAGGCCAATTTTGTGAGGCAGCAATGGCAATAATAGTTCGCACCGTAGTCATTTTTGCTACTGGTGCAAAAGTCTCCTCATAATCCACACCATACTCTTGTTTGTTACCAAGAACAACCAAGCGAGCTTTGTACCGATCTAGAGTTCCATCAGAATGAAGTTTAATTGAATAAACCCATTTACATCCAATTGGGCGGACATTTAAAGGACATGAAACAATGTCCCATGTGTTATTTTCTTTAAGAGCCAAAAGTTCTTCCTCCATTGCTTTCTGCCAACATTCATGCTTGCAAACTTGTGAGTAACAAGTTGGAACAGAAATAGTGGATAAAGTAGATGAA